GCCTATAGTGCGTGTGTGCGCGCGTGCGTGTGTGTGTGTGTGCGTGTGTGTTTCCTTCCTTTTAGCCCCGAGTCAGCTTGGGGCAGTCGAGTTGGTATCTCTGAACTCTGTTTGCACATCTCTGTGCACCATGCCCTGGGCTCACAGCCTTGCTGGATTGCCGCTGGGTCCCTGTCCTGCCAGGGGATGAGCAGCCTCTGAGCGCTCAGCGCCTCTGGAGTTACTCCCCTCCTGGCAGGATCGGGCCCTTGTTCCCGGGGCAGGGGGGAGGAGGGAGCAGGGGAATCCAAATGTCTCTGCCCGCCTGGTGCCTAGGCTTGGCCTGCTGGGAGCTGGATGTGCTGCTGGGTTTCAGTTTAATCAGCAGGGCCGGGAGCGTCTATTCATTCCCACCGAGGCATTCATCAGTGTCCTAGTAACCTGCCCCCCAGCCCCCTCGCACTCAGGCACACACGGCTCCATAATGGAAGGAGCCAGGCAATCTCAGCAGCTGAATGGGATTTTGAGCTGTGTAATTATGAGACTATGCCGGTCGAGTTGGAACTCATTAGCCATTATCAGCCATTTCAGCAGCACAATGCCACCACCCCAGGCTGCGCGGCTTCAGTGTCTGGACACGCTGCCGAGGTGCTGGAGGCCGTCCTGCCTCTGACCTCGGCCCTCCCTCGGGCCCCACGCTGCGTAGGGACCCCAAGGGCAGGGCCTGGCGCTGCCAGGGGTGCGTTCCATCGAAACGGCTGCAAAGGAGCCTCTGCCGGCTCCCGGTGTGGGGAGCAACAGGCAATGAATCTAGTCTCCATTCCCCTCTGTATGGGAGAGGCCAGATCCCACTCTGCGCTGCCTGGTCCGAGAGCGCAGGCCCCGCGGTACGGGCCCGGTCTGAGATCGCAGGCCCGGTCTGAGGGCACAGGCCCCGCGGTAGGGACCCCGCTGCGCTGGCCGGTCCCAGGGTGCAGGCCCCAGTACGGACCCTGCTGCACTGGCCGGTCCGAGAGCGCAGGCCCCGCGGTATGGACCCCGCGGTGCTGGCCCGGTCCGAGATCGCAGGCCCTGCGGTAGATTGAAAGTGCCTGATGTGCTGCCCCCAGTGTGAGTGCACAGACTTGGCTGCCCAAACCCTGTGCTGAAGGCTCTGGCTCCAGGCCCCCCTGCCCCAACCCCGGCTCTTGGGGCCCCTCTGCCCCAACCCTGGCCCCAGACCCCCCAGCTCTCAGGGACCCCCTGCCCCGACCCCATCTCTCAGCACTCAGCAAGTGGGGGCTGAGCAGAGCGGTTCTTCGTGTCTGAGTTGGGAAGGAGGCGCTTTGCTCGCTGCCCTGCGCACGCACGGCTCCTGGTACATTCAGGGCATGGCCATGCTGCCGGCGCTTTTGAGCTGCGGCTCGGGCTGGCACTCGGGCTCTACCCCCCCCCCCCCCCCCGGCTTCAGAGCCCGCGTGCCAGCCTGAGCCGCAGCATTGACACGGCTGTGTCTAAGCGCGGCAGCACCAGCCCAGCGCATTTGCCAGCCCGGCTTAGTGCTCGCTGCTGGGGCTGTGGAGACGTCCCCCGAGAGAGCCT